CCCCCCACCCCACACTCCTCCTGCAGTCCACCACTACTTCTTACTTGACTGAATGTAAAAGCCCGTTGCATCCACATGGAACGCTATTATCTTGGCTTAGTTTCTGAACAGTCTAACTTGGTTTCTGAATCGACTGTTTTGGTTTCTGAATCGGCCGTTTTGGTTTCTGAATCGGCTGGTTTGGTTTCTGAATCGGCTCTTTTGGTTGCTGAATCGGCTCTTTTGGTTTCTGAATCGTAGTTGCTGAATCGCCTGGTTTGGTTTCTAAATCGGCCGACTTGGTTTTTGAATCGGCTGTTTTGGTTTCTGAATCGGCTGTTTTGGTTTCTGAATCGGGACTCGCTTGGTTTCTGAATCGGCCCGTTTGGTTTCTGAATCGGCTCATTTGGTTCCTGAATCGGACCATTTGGTTTCTGAATCGGACTGTTTTGGTTTCTGAATCGTAGTTGCTGAATCGGCCATGTTGGTTTCTGAATCGTAGTTTCTGAATCGGCTGTTTTGGTTTCTGAATCGTAGTTGCCTGATCGGTTGGTTTCTGAATCGGCTAATGACCGTTGAAAAGTGAAACTGAGCGAACGGAGTGCTTTCATCCATGTTCACAAGGCTTTGACACACATCTCCTGGTCCCTCGCTTCCAATCACAGTAGCACATCTACTTTCGGGCATAGACACTTGGTTGCAACATGGCGGCCTCATCACACTCCTATTCCTCAAATGAAGGTTTTACGGTTTACATATAGTTTCAACTTGCAAAGGTTGCAAGAATCAAACAAGTGATGACCAAGGTTGCTTTGCTATGTAAGGCTTCTTTCAAAGGTGGTGATGACAGTATGTTTCCAGTTCAACATTGTATGTCAGGTTCCACGCCATACCAACTGGATGATGCCTCACGCGCACGGCGCAGCTCAATGTCTTCCCGGGTCACAGCCATTGGCCCAGTCGGAGCCTGATCAACTTCGTTCAGGTCGGGTGAAGCCCTCACAAATTCGTCCTGCCGAGAGCATCGGATGAAGACCACTCGAGACCTGTCGTGACCTAGTCTTGGCATAGACGCAGCGATTGGCTTGACATGAAATCATCAGGTCCTCTCCCATCCCCAAGAAAAGCACACACACCTTGACAAAAGAGGTCTTAGTTTAAGCGCAGTTTGCCTGGGCTGCAAGGAAAAGGACATGAGGAGGTAGGACAGCACAATGACCAGCAGAAAGCCTAGGCGCTGGCCGCTTGCCAAGATAAACTGTGATTCACAATGGTGCTTCATGTTGGGGCAGCAACATGGACAGTCTCACAATATGCTGCCAGTTCAGTATGGCCGTGCATTGTGCATTTAGACTGCAATATAACATGTGGATGCTTCTTCTCAGCTAGTTCTGTATCTCAAGAGCCAGTCTCACTTTAAAGAGAAGCAAGGAGTAGCTTCGCTGACAGCATGCTGGCCTCTGGAGCGCATACCATCAGAGTGCAACAGACCAAACTGCCAAAAAATTGGACTCCACGCGCCCTCTTGGATTTTGCCAACTCATCAGTGGTCTGTCGAACCTGCAACTCCCAAGCATCAGTATCAAACAAAAATAAAGGAGGAGAAATCTGTATGATTCGTGGATGGGCAGAGAAAAAGGAAGACAAAGAAGAGCCACAAGTCCAAACAGTAAAACAAGTGGACATCGACCGGAAGGAAATCCCAAGCCCATCTCCTGTTTAATTCTGTCAACTGAGCAACCAAACTTACCACTGTCTATTTCCCAGCTTACCAAGTTCCCCATACTGAGATAAGCATACTTGCAGATAGTGAAAGCAAGACTGATGTGAGCATCCCATTTACATTGCAAAAGTGAGAAGTGGTCCCCAAAAACATCGCACCATATCGCACCTGTGCACTTAGAACTGATCCTAATCACTCGAAAAGGGTAGTCGGATGTAGTCTGAGTCCCATGTGAGGGCTCCCTAAGACGGAGAGGCCCTTATATTCTTTCGAAACCAAAACCTTGTAGCCACGATCCATCGAACATGGAAACCACAGTGACTGCTGGTAGTTGAAGATGCACCTCTTCGTCAAAGCGAGCTCTCTCTTCCTTCAATTTGTTCTGATCCTCCTGAGGACAGCTTGCAGTTCAATTGGATTCACACGCCAAACGACGTTCGATGCGCCGAACGTAGTCTCGTCTCGACCGATCGATGCATCCCTCGGCTTCTCCAGAATCTTCTCACGCATTGATGTGAGTTCGGCATGCTCTTTGGCCGACTCCTCAATGCCTGGCAAAACTCATACGCGATTGCCTTGTTCCAAGATGAGGACTCCAGGAGGTTAAGACCTTTGTGCTACGACTTGCTATGCTTGAGTATTCATCCTCAAAGTCGCGTCGGCCTCTACAGAAACGCCACTCAGCGGTCTCATCAAATCCCCAAAGAATTGCTACACAGCCGTCTGCATTATGTGTTTCTTCCTTCACATTGAGTCATGACCCTTGTAACTGGGGGAAAACGGCAAAGATCCATATATAACTATCATATAGCTAGTAGCTTCTTGTTACTAGTAGTCATGGCCTCCAACCCACTTGTGATGGCCTCCACCTAGTAGCTTCTTGCTACTAGTAGTAATG